ACAGATTTGTTTGAGTTCATTGTAGATTCTGGATATTAGTCCCTTGTCAGATGCATAGATTGTGAAGGTTTTCTCCCACTCTGAGGGTTGTCTGTTTACTCTGCTGACTGTTCCTTTCGCTGTGGAAAAACTCTTTAGTTTAATTATGTCCCAGCTATTTACCTTTGATTTTAATGCATTTTCATTTTGGTTCTTGGTCATGAAATCCTTGTCTAGTCAATGTCTAGAAGGCTTTTTCCTATATTATCATCTAGAATTTTTGTAGTTTCAGGTCATAGGTTTATGTCCTTAATCCATCATGAGTTGACTTTTGTATAAGGTGAGAGATGAGGATCCAGTTTCATCCTCCTACATGTGGCTAGCCAATTATCCCAACATCATTTGTTTAAAATGGTGTCCTTTCCCCATTTTATATTTTTGTTTGCTGTGTCAAAGATCAGTTGGCTGTATTTGGGTTTATTTCTGAGTTCTCTATTCTGTTCCATCAGTCTATGTGCCTATTTTTATACTAGTACCATGCTGTTTTGGTGACTATGCCTTTATAGTAAAGTTTGAAATCAGTAAGCATGATGCCTCCACATTTGTTCTTTTTGCTTAGTCTTACTTTGGCTATGTGGGCTCTTTTTTGGTTTTATATGAATTTTAGAATTGTTTTTTCTAATTCTGTGAAGAATGATGGTGGTATTTTGATGGGGATTGCATTGAATTTGTAGATTGTTTTTGGTGGTATGGTCATTTTCCCAATATTGATTCTACTCATCCATGAGCATGGGATATGTTTCAATTTGTATGTTGTCTATGATTTCTTTCAGCAGTGTTTTGTAGTTTTTCTTGTAGGGGTCTTTTGACTCCTTGGTAAGGCATATTCCTAAGTACTTGATTTTATTTTATTTTATTTATTTATTTTAGCTGCTATTGTAAAAGGGGTTAAGTTCTTGATTTGATTTTCTGCTTCGTTGCTGTTTGTGTATAGAAGAGCTACTGATTTGTGTACATTAATCTTGTATCCACAAACTTTGCTGAATTATTTTATCAATTCTAGTAGCTTTCTGCAGGAGTCCTTAAGGTTTTCAAGGTAAACAATCATCGTCAGCAAACAGTGACAGTTTGACTTCCTTTTTACCGATTTGGATACCCTTTATTTTTCTCTCTTGTCTGATTGCTCTGGCCAGGACTTTCAGTCTTAGCCAGTTGAAGAGGAGTGGTGAGAGTGGGCATCCTTGTTCCAGTTCTCAGAGGAAATGCTTTCAACTTTTCCCATTCAGTATTATGTTGGCTGTGGCTTTTCATAGATGGCTTTTATTACATTAAGGTATGTCCCTTGTATGCCAATTTTGCTGAGAGTTTTAATCATAACGGGATGCTGAATTTTGTCAAATGCTTTTTCTGCATCTATTGAGATGATCATTTGATTTTTCGTTTTTAATTCTGTTTTCGTGGTGTATCACATTTATTGACTGGTATATGTTAAAGCATTCCTACATTCCTGGTGTGAAACCCACTTGATCATGTCATGGTGGATTTTTTTTTTTTTTTTTTGATGTGTTGTTGGATTTTGTTAGCTAGTATTTTGTTAAGGATTTTAGCATCAATGTTCAACAAGGATATCAATCTGTAGTTTTTAAATGTGCTTTTCTGGACCGGCACCGTGGCTAACGCCTGTAATCCCAACACTTTGGGAGGTCGAAGAGGGCGGACCACTTGAGGGCAGGAGTTCGAGATCAGCCTGGCCAAAATGGTGAAAATCCGTCTCTACTAAAAATACAAAAACTAGCCAGGTGTTGTGGCCGGCGCCTGTAATCCCAGCTGCTCAGGAGGCTGAGGCAGGAGAATCGCTTGAACGCAGGAGGCGGAGGTTGCAGTGAGCCGAGATCGCGCCACTGCACTACAGCTTTGGCGACAGAGAAAGACTGTCTCAAAAAAAAAAAAAAAAAAAAAAAAAAGGTTCTTTTCTGCTATTTCCTGAACTTGATTACGTAAATAAGGCACGTAAGATCTGGAAGGAGGTGGAGGTGAAGTGAAGGCCCTCCCACCTGGCCGCATCCAGAGTACCTGGGTGTACGGCACTGGCGTGGGCCCCAGGGAGGATCCCAGCGAGTTTTGGTGCTGGAGGCCCGGCCAAGGGAAGGGCTGCTCTCCCGTCCCGCGGGCTCCGAGGTCGCCGCACCCCGGGCGCGCTTGGGCCTCGCCAACCTCCTGGCGCGCGCCCCAAAGGAAGCTTTTACAGGTTTCGGTCGGCAGAGCCTTTTATTCCCCCTCTGCTCCACAGCCCAGGCGCTCAGTCGGTTGGTTCGGAGGTTTCTTTCGTCCGTGGTTATGGAAAGCCCTCGCCTCCAAACTGCAGTCCCGCATTCAATTCTGCAGCCTCAGGGCCTGGAACAGCCATGCTTAGAACCCATCCTTCTTTCCTGCTCCATCCACCCTTCCCCTCTGGCTTCTGTTTTTTTTCACTGGAGAAAGCCCACCCGAGTCTCTCAGCCTGCTTCGGAGGTTACTGCGGCCTCCTCCCCCGGTAGTTCTGGGACCTGGGTCTAGTCCTCAGTTCCGGAGCAGGTCCTTCCCTGGAGTCGTCAGGCCCAGTACGCGTGTGCTCGGTGTGCTCGGGAAACGCGTGGCAGCTTTAACAGCAGATCTCCATAAAAAGGTCCCGGAGATAGGCTCTTCCTGGCCTGAGGTCCAGCGCCTCAAAGCGGAAGCCTTTGCGCTCCCCGAGGTGCTCACACCACAGCGGAGCCTGCTGGCGAGTGGAGCGTAGGACTGCGAACCAGCAATCGCCCGAGAAGCGGCGAGGGGGAGGGGAATGTCTTCGAACCAGTTATCCCTCCCACCCCCAGCAGAAGTCGGGGAAATGGGGATGGAAGGGGGAAAAAAGGAGAGAACAGGAGTGGGGTTGAGGAAGGGTAAGGAGGACGGCGAGCTTCCTACAGTTGCGGGGGGAGGTGGAGAAATTTTTCAGGGGGACAGCTGAGTGGTAGAGCTAGCGAGCTTCAGAGAAATGTTGACAGACGGATGCCCAGAAAGTGAGGATGCCGGGCATGGGCACTGAGTACCAGACACAGGAGATATATGGAGGCAGGAAATTGGCACATCAGAAGCATTTGACCTTCCTCCCTAAAACACAAATTGAACAACAACAAAAGATAATAGCGAAAGTGCACAGTAGTGAGCTAGTAGGGCCCATTCGTATACAGAAACACAGAAAAATAAGCAAAAGCTGCCAGAATTGACTTCGTGGGAACTCAGGGAAACAGTAAGAAACTTTACAGCAACCAAGGGAGTGCTGAACCCAGACAAACGTAATTGAAACACAATGATAGGGAAGAGGGGCAGGAAAGTGTTGGGTAGACAAAGACGGGTCCCTGGTAAGGGCCCTCCCCTGGGCCTATGCCCACTGGACCTAGGTGAGGACAGGCACTCCTTCCTTCATGCCAAATGTTGCATATCCCAAGACCACCCTGTCCCGCCACGCTCCCATCCTTTGCCTATGAAAACCCTGAGACCCTAGCAGGCAGACACACAAGCGGCAGTACGTCCAGAGGAACTCATCGGAGGAACTGGACGTGGAGCTGGGCACCCCAGGGGCAGGGAGCACGCCAGTGGAAGAGCACACCGACAGACCATAGGAGTCGGTCTGTTATGTTATCATAGTATAATAATATTATAAAATTATGTTATAATACAATAAAGTATAAAAATATAAATAATAATTAATGTAATAAATAGAAATAAAATAATAATTACATATTTGTATTTATATGAGAACACTATGAATAAATTTAAGCCAAAAAAACAACTCGATGTTCATCACTGGATGAGTAGATGAGCAATTTCCAGTACATTCATGCAATGGAATATGATTCAGCCATAAAATGAAATGAAGTACTGATACATGCTGCTGCAGGAATGAACTCCTCAAACACTACACTTGGTGAAAGAAGCCAGACACGGAAGGTCACATATTGTATGATCCCATTTATAAGAAATATTCAGAATAGAGACAAAAGGAGATTTGTAGTTGCCAGGGGCTGGAGGCAAGAAGGGTTTAACAGGTATGCTTAACGGGGCCTCCTATGCAGTTGACGAAAATGTTTCGGGCTACATAAGTGATGGTTGCATAACATTGTTCTAAATGCCACTGAATTCTACTCTTTAAAAGTTTTAGTTTTATGTTATGTGGCGTGTACCTAAAAAAAAAAAAAAAAAAAACTTAAAAAAAAAAAAAAAAAAAAAAAGAGGTGCGGTGCTCCAGCCTGGGATGAGGCAGCGTGGACAGGAGCATCTCCCAACCCCAGTGAAGTCTGAGCCGCGTGCCTGCAACAATCCCACTGTGGCAGAGAACCGCAGAGTTCCTTCCGGTTTGGCGGCAGTCATTGCAACCTCACATCCCTCTGGAACCGGGGAGCCAAGTCGGATTCCGAGACTGTGGGCCAGGTTTAGCCGGATTCAGTTACCTGGCTGAGGCCTAGTGAGCAAAATATCCCAGACCTCGCGTGATTTGGAACCGGAAGTCGGATAAATACGGATCTCCAGATGTGCTAGTCTACCGATATGAGGTCGCCCTAGAGTTTCTATTCACCATTTTAACAGCATTTCATCCATCTTGAGACACGCTTTTTGACATTTTATCATCTCAAGATAGTGTTGGATGTCTAACAGCAGCGTTTTTCTAAGAGATACATGAAACAACAGTGTCAGAAACGATGCTGTATTCCATGCAATTAAATTGTTGTAATAGGTGCTCAATAAATGTTGATAATATATAAGTGAATGAATGAAAATTATTTTATTTTTATTTGAGCTTTGGTTCTGCCATTTGCTAGCAATGTGACTCAAGAGAAGCCAGTAACCCCTCTGAGCTTGCCTAGTTCACAAAAGCCTGTAATGATGTCGACAGCTTCCTCAGGCTGCGAGGCTCGCAAGAAGTGCTCACATAAATGTGCGCTTAGGACGTGAGTACTCACTCCCGAAAACTCCAACACAGTGAAAAGGCAGAAGCGGTGTTTTTCTTTTTTACATTTTTATAACAATATATAAAAGATGACACAAATGGAAATTTACGGTAGTGGGGGAAGGCGTATATCTACTTCAAAAGGCAGGTCATTTTTAAAAGCTCTATTTTCTAAATTAAAACTACGAAAGCGGGGTGGGTTGTGGTGGGGGCAGTTGTAGCCCTGTAGGACCTTCGGTGATTGATGATCTAAGTTTCCGGAGGTGTCTCAGAGCCTCGGTAGATCTTTCAATCGGGGATGCCTGCGGAGGGCAGAAAGAAAACAGGCGTTAGAAACCGGAGGTCAAAGATATGTGGCGCATCCCGCCCTCCTCTCTTGCCGTCCCTACCGGCATTGAAGTACTTATGGACAAGGTTCTCGCAATGGTTTCACGTGCATGTACCCGCCGCCACCGCTCTCCCACACCTTCCTGGTCCAGCAGCGAGTCCACTGCCCGCCTGGCTGCTCCAGGCGCGCCGACCGCTCAAGCGCTCCAGGTCTGCCCGGTCGAGGGCAGAGAAAGCGCGACCGCCCGGCCCGCGGGGTTGCAAGAAGAAAACGAGTGTTATGTAATGAGTGTCAGTGGTTGCTCACCATGCAAAGGCGAGAAGATGTGGCCTTTCCCTTCCCGCCTTCCCAGGCATCTTTTGCACCTGGTGCGGAATGAGCCAGCCAGCTAGCGATAACCAAAGGGCGCCTCAGGCTCTGGCGTTCCTCGGCTGAATCCCGTAGCTTCCCTACGCATGCCTGCTTCTACAAACCCACAAATGGTTTCCTATCATTTCTGAAGCAAAATGGATGCTCATTTATTCATATGATTTGGCTTCTGCCTTTCTCTCTAATCTCGTTGTGTACGGGCTCCAGCTCGCTGTTTGGTTCTCCCGAGGCAGCATTTACACTTGAGAGTCTCAAGTTTATTTTATTCCTGGGGCAGCATTTGCACTTGAGAGTTTCTTTTTATGTTTATTCCTGAGGCAGCATTTGCACTTGAGAGTTTCTTCCTCCCTAGCTTTCATTAGATTCTCCAACCACTGTTTATTTTCTCCTCCTATTCACACTTCATATTTACCCATTGCATTGGTTTTATAAACTGGTTCTCTGAAAATAGGTTGTTATCTTGCTTAACGTCTATTTCCCAGGTCGGCCACGATAGCTTGGGACTGTAATCCCAGTACTTCAGGAGGAGGAGGGGGGAGGATCGCTTGAGCCCAGACAACAGGGTGAACCCTCGTCTCTATTAACAACAACAACAAAAACAAAAACAAACAAACAAAAACAGGCATCGTGGCGCGCACCTGTGGTCCCAGCTAGTCTGGAGACTGAGGTGGGAGAACCCCTTTAGCCAGGGAGGTTGAGGCTGCAGTGAGCTGTGATCGCGCCATGCACTCCAGGCTGGGCAATAGATCGACCCTGTCTCCAAATGTAAACCCCATGAGGGCAAGACTCTTGTTTGGTCTCATTCACCTTGGCGTGCCCACCACCTAGAACAGGGCTGATCACGCAGTAGAATCTAGTCATGTAATTAATTGTGCTTGAAGAGGGGGTGTTGGGGAGTAAGATAAGGAAGGGAGGAAGGAAGAAATGAAAGACTTGTGTGCTTGGATTAAATATCTTCGGTTTGGTTGAGTCGTTCAATTTATTCATTTGCTTGTGGCCCAATTCGATAGTTTTACTCCCTCTCCCACTTGGCTCCTCCAGCTTTTCGCTCAGCCCTGGAACCGCGCTGTAATTGGCAACTCCTTCTATATCGGGACCGGATGCTAGTTGTAACTGGAGGCGAAGTCTCCTTCTTCACCGGGACTCGGATGCTAGCTGTAACTGGAGGGAATTGGTGGGGAGCAGAGGCCGAGTAAAGAAGAACTTTGCGTCTTTAACTTCGAAGGTGATTTTGCGTTCTGTATTTACAGCATCTCCAAGCAGAGGGCTTAGAGCTAACTCTCCACCCCGTCCTCTCCGGCTCCCCTATGGCCCAGGGAGCCCAGTGCCCCGTTCTAGGCCAAAATAAGATGGATTTCAGAATCTTCAAGGTCATGTTTTACCTTAAATATTCGTGTTAATTCCCATGTATTGCTTCATATATCTTTTTTTTTTTTTTTTTAAAGGTGTTCCTCCTCTAGAAACAATTGAGTAATGTTGGCACTTTCAGCAGACTGCTGTGGGGGTAAGGAACTGGGGTCATGGAATGGGGGCGGAGGGAGGATGTTTTGAGATCGCAAAAAGGAAAGGCAAGGGCAAGGAGGACCACAATTCTATCTTCAACTCTCAGTGATCTCTTGCACAAGTTTAAGAGGGAAAGGAGAGGGCCTCTGTCTGCCACAGAGTGCTGCAAATTCCGGTGCACAGACTGCCAGGGTCAGCGGAGTCTTGGTCCTATTGCCCTCAGAATCCCCTGGGGCAGCTCTGAAAAACTCTACCGCATAAAGCGAAGGGTCAGATTAGTTGAGTTGTGCAGAAGAGCCGAGATTGAGAGATCTCCAGATGATGCCACGCATAATTGGGTTTGGAAATCCTGGGGTTGGTCCAGCCAGCTTGGTATGCAAATGAGGAAACATACCTGGTAAGTGGATGCAACTGGCCCTAGTTTGGAGGAAGACGGGGCACTAGACCTCTAGCCTCTTGAGTCTTCATTGCTCCGCAGTCTAGGCCTTGAACTAGGAGAGGGTAGGTATGCTTTGGGAAGTATAATGTACAGAATGGGCTTTCACGTGCGCAAGTTCATGTCGGGATTATTTCCCATTTGCTGCCCTGGCGGGGAAGAGCGATCGGGAGACTCAGGCCCTCCCATGGATTGGCACGTGAGCTGAGGCAAGACCCGAGACTGGTCTCCCGGGCTGAACTTTCTGTGCTGGAAAATGAATGGTCTGAGCTTTGGAAGCTCTCCGGGTACAAATCCTTAGATCATCAGTCCTCACCTGAGGGACCTTCCGCGGCATCTATGCGGGCATGGCTACTGCCTCTGGTGCCCCCCGCAGCCGCGCGCAGGTACCGTGCGACATCGCGATGGCCCCGCTCCTCAGCCAGGTCCACGGGCAGACGGCCCCAGGCATCGTGTACGTCCAGCCGCGCCCCAGCCCGGTGCAGCACCGCCAGCGTGTCCAGGAAGCCCTCCCGGGCAGCGTCGTGCACGGGTCGGGTGAGAGTGGCGGGGTCGGCGCAGTTGGGCTCTGCGCCATGGAGCAGCAGCAGCTCCGCCACGCGGGCGCTGCCCATCATCATGACCTGCCAGAGAGAGCAGAGTGGTCAGAGCCAGGGTAGGGGCCGGCATGATGGAAAGGAATCTTGTGTGAAGCCCCCTCACCGCCAAGCAGACACCCACACAAGCCACAGGTGTCTAATTACCCCTACATTTGCTTCCAGTTTCCAATTTCCTTCTCGAGTTCTCTATCCATTCTTCAGTACACATTGAATTCCAATATAACCTCCGAACTTCTGCGGAGCTGTCGCCACAGGCAGAGAGCACTGTGAGGCACGGGCAAAATAGCAAAGGGGCAGGGACAAACTGACTTTTACTCCAGTCTAACTTCCTGTATTTCCCTTGAGATAAAACTACTGAAATTTCTTCCTGAAATTATGTTAGGCCTGGAGATTTTTTTTTGTATGCTTTGGGAAGTATAATGTACAGAATGGGCTTTCACGTGCGCAAGTTCATGTCGGGATTATTTCCCATTTGCTGCCCTGGCGGGGAAGAGCGATCGGGAGACTCAGGCCCTCCCATGGATTGGCACGTGAGCTGAGGCAAGACCCGAGACTGGTCTCCCGGGCTGAACTTTCTGTGCTGGAAAATGAATGGTCTGAGCTTTGGAAGCTCTCCGGGTACAAATCCTTAGATCATCAGTCCTCACCTGAGGGACCTTCCGCGGCATCTATGCGGGCATGGCTACTGCCTCTGGTGCCCCCCGCAGCCGCGCGCAGGTACCGTGCGACATCGCGATGGCCCCGCTCCTCAGCCAGGTCCACGGGCAGACGGCCCCAGGCATCGTGTACGTCCAGCCGCGCCCCAGCCCGGTGCAGCACCGCCAGCGTGTCCAGGAAGCCCTCCCGGGCAGCGTCGTGCACGGGTCGGGTGAGAGTGGCGGGGTCGGCGCAGTTGGGCTCTGCGCCATGGAGCAGCAGCAGCTCCGCCACGCGGGCGCTGCCCATCATCATGACCTGCCAGAGAGAGCAGAGTGGTCAGAGCCAGGGTAGGGGCCGGCATGATGGAAAGGAATCTTGTGTGAAGCCCCCTCACCGCCAAGCAGACACCCACACAAGCCACAGGTGTCTAATTACCCCTACATTTGCTTCCAGTTTCCAATTTCCTTCTCGAGTTCTCTATCCATTCTTCAGTACACATTGAATTCCAATATAACCTCCGAACTTCTGCAGAGCTGTCGCCACAGGCAGAGAGCACTGTGAGGCACGGGCAAAACAGCAAAGGGGCAGGGACAAACTGACTTTTACTCCAGTCTAACTTCCTGTATTTCCCTTGAGATAAAACTACTGAAATTTCTTCCTGAAATTATGTTAGGCCTGGAGATTTTTTTTTTTTTTTTGGTTCCCTGCTGTATATCCAAGCGCAGAATGTGGTAATTGTTAAAAAGAGAAAACTTGTTTGTTTGTTTTTTTAAACAAATTCTCACAAAACTTTTAAGTTACCCTTAGTTTCTGGGAACGTTGAACTTAAATTTCTTTTTCATTAAATTAGTTTTAAAATTACATATTGGCATAGTACAGTTGTATATATTTATGTGGTACAATATGAAGTTATGATCTTGGAACACAATGTGGAATTAAGTCAAGCTAATTAACCCATCCATCATCTCAAATATTTGATATTTTTGTCAAATGAGAGCATTTGGGATTTACTCTTTAGCTATATTTATCATGCTGTGAAACACATCTCAAAAAAAATCAAACTTATTTCTTCCATCTTAACTGAGGCTTTGTATCTTGATTACCACTCCCCATTCCTCCCACCGCCCCCCCCCAGCTCCAGCAACCACCATTCTACTCTTTACTGCTAAGAATGTAATTGTTTTATATTTCACAGATAAGTGAGAACATGTGATATTTGTCTTTCTGTGTTTGGCTTATTTCATTTAGCATAATGCTCTCCAATTCCAAAAATTCAATTTCTTCAAGTATAAAATAAGAAGGCTAGACTAACTAGCCCTAAAATTCCTTCCTGTGGTAGGTTGAATAAGGTCCCCCCCCAAATGTCTATGTCCTGATCCTCAAAAACTGTTAATTTATTAACTTATGTGGCAAAAGAGGCTTTGCAGATGTGATTTAAGTAATGGTCTTGAGGGAGATTATCCAGAATTTTCAGGGTGGGCCCAATAGAACCCCAAGTGTTTTTATTAGAGGGTCACAGTCAGAGAGAAGATAAAAGAATGGAAGCACAGGCCACAGAGAAAATACAGGGACTATGAGCCAAGGAATTTGATGGTCACTAGAAGCTGGAAAAGACAAGGAAACAGATTGTCCCTTAGAGTTTCCCAAAGTGGACCCATTTTTGACTTCTGATCTCTAGAACTGTACTGTAAAATAATAATTTTGTTTGTTTTAGCTAACACATTTGTGATAATTTGTAACAGCAGCAATAGGAAACGAAAAGGCTTCCCAGGTTTATGATTTGAGAGTTCATTAAACAAGAGATGGTCACCTTTTTGGTTCCTAAATCATCTTGGAAACAAAGCCATTTCCAGAGAGGAATTTTAAAATACTGTCTCCACTCATAGCAACCTTAAAATCTGAGTGTTGCATTGTGGAAATAGACAATTTATTTTGGGATAACTGTTATTTTTTATATTAGCTTGAGGATGGTTGTGTTAAAGAGGAATTACTTAATTTTAGGTACATTTCATACTAAACACAAATTGCATAATTTGCCTAAATCAAGGAATTATACTAAATTATATTATGGTTATTAAATCCTGTCCTGAGAAAGTGAAACTGACTTAGTTTTCAAAGAGACAAAGAGAAAGTATAAGCAAACCAAATTGCAGCTACAAAAAGACAGACAAAATGTTGCAGCATATTTATTGTTCCGTGTGTTCACTGAAGTTCTCTTCGTCTTGGTCATAAAACTAGCCTTAAAGGTTTTTATTATATTTCATAGAATGAAAAACCTAAAAAGTAACCCATATGTAAATATTTAAATCATGATAGAAATCCAAAGCAAAAAGAAAATGAATTCATTGAATTAAAATGTGTAGGATGCTTAAACCCATTTGGTAATAAATTGATATGAATTTAGCATTTAAAAATATTATACAAATAAGTGTTCCTATATTAAACACCAATGTAGTTAGGATTCTAAGCCAACAACACTTCCCCTTTTCTACATGTTCTTCTCCCTTCCCCATTAAAAATTGTCAAAACTATCCACTTTTCTTTTTCCTTTTTGTTTTTAAACAAATAAGGTCTCTTCTAAGATATTTTAGGACTACAAAGCCAAATTCCCGGGTCCAAGCTGTTGGCAAAATTTTAGAGATGCTAAGTTACCCATGCATTAATTACTTTTAAATCATCCCCTAACTCCCTCACAAAACCGGAGTAGGGAGAGGAGAAACACCACTGTTCAAAAATGAGGAATTGAAAACTCTATCACAAAATAAACTATTATCAAGTAAGCTAAAGATAGCAAAACAGTAAAAATATTAGCAGATATTCCCAAAATGGTGACTACATATTACTTCTGGCACGATCACATGAATGTAGCTCATTATTTCCTAAGTTCCTACAGCAAACATGTATTTATTTGCCCTACTCAGTTAAAAATAAACACAATATGTAGTTGCTTCTGAATGCTTTTTTTTATCTCTCTCTTTCTCTCTCTCTCTCTTTCTTTCCTTCGACAGTCTCACTCTGTCACCCAGGCTGGAGTGAAGTGGCTCCCTCTCGCTGTTCACTGCAACCTCAGCCTCCCAGGTTCAAGCGATTCTCCTGCCTCAACCTCCTGAGTAGCTGGGATTACAGGCGCCTGCCACCACCCCCGGCTAAGTTTTGTATTTTTAGTAGAGGCGGAGTTTCACCTGTTGGCCAGGCTGGTCTCGAACTCTCAGGTGATCCCCCCGCTCCTTGAGCTCCCAAAGTGATGGGATTATAAGGCGTGAGGCACTGCTCCCGGCAGCTTCTGAATAATTTCGATCAGAAATTTATATTCGATATTTATTCCAACATACACCACAGATTTCCACTGATAATCCCTACTAGTAAGAAAGATAAACTCCATCCAGGCATCTGTGAATTGGGGGCTAAGTAGTCCCAGCACATCTTACATTTCTTTAAGACTCCCGTTTTATCTCAAACCTTCGTAAGTTTTGTATCTGATAGAGCATACTTCCATCTAATACAAATATGTTCCCCCCTTCAGATCTTCACAGCATTCGAGAGATCAGCACGCGCGTGCCTCCTCATTCCTTCCTTGGCTTCCCAAGCCCCCAGGGCTTCGCCAGGAGGAGGTCTGTGATTACAAACCCCTTCTGAAAACTCCCCAGGATGCCCTTTTTTCCAGTCTCAAAGTGCTACCTGATTCCGACTCCCCTGCAAACTTCGTCCTCCAGAGTCGCCCGCCATCCCCTGCTCCCGCTGCAGACCCTCCACCTACCTGGATCGGCCTCCGACCGTAACTATTCGGTGCGTTGGGCAGCGCCCCCGCCTCGAGCAGCGCCCGCACCTCCTCTACCCGACCCCGGGCCGCAGCCGTGGCCAGCCAGTCCGCCGAAGGCTCCATGCTGCTCCTGGCTGCTCGCTCCCTGCTCTCCCACTCTCCGCAGCGGCCAAGTGCACGCGGCCGCCCCACCCTCTGGTGACCAGCCAGCCCCTCCTCTTTGTTCCTCCGGTGCTGGCGGAAGAGCCCCCTCGGACTCTGTCCCTCAACTCCTCTGGAGGGATCGCGGTATCTTTCCAGGCAGGGGGGTGCCGTTCGCGAGTGCTTGGAGGAGGTGCTATTAACTCCGAGCACGTAGAGAATGTGGCACCCCTGAAGTCGCCCCAGGGTGGGCCTCCCCCGGGGGCACCAGCCGGAAGCAGCCCCCGCCAGAGCCAGCGTTGGCAAGGAAGGAGGACTGGGCTCCTCCTCCTCACCTGCCCCCAACACCGCCCTCCGGCCTCCCTGCTCCCAGCCGCGCTCCCCCGCCTGCCAGCAAAGGCGCGTTCGAGTGCATTCACTCGGTTAAAAAGAAAAAAAGAAATCCCCCCGCCCCCCGCCCCGTTTCCTTCCTCCGCGGTACAACTTTCCTAACTGCCAAATTGAATCGGGTTGTTTGGTGTCATAAGGAAAGTATGGTTTCTTCTTTTAATCATAAGAAAAAGCAAAACTATTCCTTCCTAGTTGTGAGAGCCCCACCGAGAATCGAAATCACCTGTACGACTAGAAAGTGTCCCCCTACCCCCTCAACCCTTGATTTTCGAGAG